TGGTGGTGGTGGTGGTGGTGGTGGTGGTGGTGGTGGTGGTGTTGGTGGTGGTGTTGGTGGTGTTGTTGGTGTTGTTGGTGGTGGTGGTGTTGGTGTTGGTGTTGGTGTTGGTGTTGGTGTTGGTGTTGTTGGTGGTGTTGGTGTTGGTGTTGGTGTTGTTGTTGGTGTTGGTGGTGTTGGTGTTGGTGTTGTTGGCGTTGTTGGTGTTGTTGGTGTTGTTGGTGTTGTTGGTGTTGTTGTTGTTGTTGTTGGTGGTGGTGGTGTTGGTGGTGGTGGTGGTGGTGTTGGTGGTGGTGGTGTTGGTGTTGGTGGTGGTGTTGGTGGTGTTGTTGGTGTTGTTGTTGGTGGTGGTGTTGGTGTTGGTGTTGCTGTTGGTGTTGGTGGTGGTGTTGGTGGCAGTCGTACTGTCCATGCTTTGCCTGATTCCCATCCAACGGTCCTGAGCAAGGAGGAGAGTGAAGGGGGAGCTTACCTTGCTATGGTGATCTGCATCTTCATCTACTTGGTTGGCGCTGCACTTGGAAGGCCCCGAGTGGGTTAGTACTTAGTCGGTGGCTATAGAGGAGTGAAGCTCTGATATTCAAAGAACAACGCAAAGTCACTATGTCTCACCTGCTATGGCCTCCACGCCTACTACCACCCCTGGAGTTTTCCTTCCAAGCACTAACCCACTTGGGGCCTTCCAGGTGCAGTGCCGACCAAGAAGATGAAGATGCAGTCCACCATAGCCAGGTAAGATGGCCCGTCACTCTCCTCCTTGCTCACCGTCATCCACTCCTACTCCATCCCCGGATGCTACTCCTTGGTCCTCTCCACCATAGCCAAGGTGGGAGGCCAAACCCGCCTCCTTCTTCACCCAGCGCTGCTTCAACTGGCCGGTTGCTCAAGCAGTGTGCCTCCAAGCTGCACACTTGCAAATACTGCCGAAGTTCCTCCTCGCACGGTTGCTTCAAGGCCCCGCGGCCTCCGAGTCTACCCGGCACCTCCCACTTTCAGAGGGAAACATCGTTGCAGTCTGATATCCCCTCCTCCAGGCTGTAGACTCAGGCTACTTGGACCCATACCACGCTTTCTAAGCCTACCGGACTCAAAATCCTGCTCTGGTCTACAAAGGTACTAACTTTTTTGTCTTCTTCTGCCTACCTATGCTAATTGAGTGTTTTCAGCCTACGCAGGCCTACCCTACTCCAATTCCCCGTCCGCACAAGAACACAGCCATAGGTCAGCACCAGGCGCGGTGGCCTTCCCAGCACACAAGTACCCCAGCAGGTCCCATACACACCCATACAATCATGCAGCCAAGCAAACATACGAAGACTCAGCAATCAAACACACACACAAACTTAGAAATCTGAGCAGAATACGGGAATCTCAGCAGTACCAACTGGCCTAGATCAGTTAGTACACCCCTGAACTGTTGAAATGCAGACCAGAGTTCGAATCCTGCCAACCGATGCAGATGAGTAAAATACTACAGTTCTGAATTACCCGGTGCCAGTCAGTTCAGCGATGATATCTCAAGGCCGTACCCCAAAATAAAAAGGAAAAAGAGGGGAGGGGGGGGGGGAACAGAAATCTCAGCAAGTAACTGAAAAACGACCCGCAAAACTCAACAGCAGGTTTCGCAAATTCGCAGTCTGCGGTTTTGCAGGTCATTACACAATTATTGTCTTCCCTTCTGTTTCCTCAAGTCCCATTGCTCATATATGAGCATCTACAATTTGGTTTGTGACTTGTTCTTCTGAACAGCTGCTCGATGACTCTTGGCCAATTATGGAAACTTTGCACCAGATGAAGTCCGATGTGACTGACACGTCCTCGTCCTGCAAGTGATATTGTTGGTTTGTCTTGCCGTGGGCCCTCCGAGTACTTGCTCCTTTTTCTTTTGCCTCCAGGGTGTGTCCACTAACATGAGTTTCTTTGGTTGGCAATTTGTTCTTGCATACAGCCGCCCGAAGAGTTCTGGCAAACGATGGAAACTCTGGGCTGGTTGGACTACCAGGGTCCGACACTGATATCTACACTGAAAAGGTCATCGGGGAAGGTTCTTCTGAGGATCTGCAGAACAATTCAGATGTGGGAGACGTCTTTTGGGAGGATGAATCAGACATCGGTGAATCCACACTGATGAGAGGGGATGGCCAGGATGACAGCGATGCTGCCAGCGACCACCTGGCAGATGAGGCTCTTGAAGAGAAGCTTAAAGCTACGGCGTCCGCTCCCGTCAACCAAGAATGGTGGAAGCCGTTGATCAGGGAGGGTGCAGTCGATCTGACGGACGGTATTCAGTCGTCGGCGGCGGCAAATGTGTCGAAAATGGTATCTGCATCCAAAACAGTCGAAGCAATCTGGGTGACGGCAGCAGCAAGGAACACCACATCTGCGCAAGCCTGCGCAGATGCGATGTCGTCTCTGTGGAATACGACCTGGATTTGCCAGGAGGGCGATCATCGGACAGAATGCAGGAATGAGATGAACAAAGTAATGGCAGAAACGATGCTTGTTTGCGATCAGAATTTTATGTTGGCCTCTCAAATCCAAGAGCTGTTGATGCAGAATCTCAACCTTACAAATCAGTTGCAGATGATGTCATTCCTTAATCAACAACTTGTGGAGCAGCTGAAGCAGCTTGCCAACGAAAAAATTGGAAGACACGGTGTAAGTCCTTCAGACGTTATCGGGATCAGTGGAGGGAATGACGACATTGCTGCGGAATTGATGGGAGACGGTGGTAAAGTGATATTGAACATCTCCAAACCGATCCAGAGTTTATCTAAACCTGAATCAGCAGCCAATGCTACTGAGATGCCGCTAGAAGGGACCACATCAGAGTCCCAGACAGTAGGAGTAGCATCGGAACCTCAGACCCACAAAAATGCATCAGAGACCAAGACGGCAGATTCAGATGGAAACGTTGGGGAAGGATCTCGCCAGAGTTCACCAGAGGATTTGATGAATGCCTCCGGAAACGCTGTGGTGAAAGACGAGAGAAAACGTGGCCCAGGTAACCGTTGTTTCTAATTTGCATTGACCCAAGTTCCCAACCAATCAAAACCACACAGCAAAAAAGATGCAACTGATGGACACCACATAGCACAAAAGAGCAAAAGGGGGAAAGTCTGCGTGTCGGTGACTGTTTGGCACACACTGAGGGTCGTCAGTCGGACAGGGTCGGAGTAACGACGGAGTTCAATGGTTGAGATTTCCTAGGCTTCTGTTCTGAGTTCTTTCTTTCTCACACAAGTTCAGCCTCTCCTCTTCTATGTCTTCTTTCCTTCCCTGGGGAAGGTGCTTCCCCCTTCAGACAGGAAAAGTGCTCTATAAACAGGAAAGACGGTTCACAGATATGCAATGTTGCTAGCTTAGATCATGAAGAAGATGATAGAGGAGCATCAGAATTGCATGTGGTGGGAACAGACACCCTTGCACGGGTGTGACGATTTGTTTAGGGCACACACTACTTTTTGCCCCCCTTTTTTTCTTTTTTTGTTGTTCGTTGTTCACCTTCAGCAGGGGTTGTATATTACTAGTGGTTTTGTATCGTTGGGCGGCCCCCAACAGTCCCGACCTTTCGGTTGCAATATTTGGTATGACCCTTTCTTTCTTTCCTTTTGCTAGAGAGAGTTAGGATGACCCTCTCCTCTTGAATCTCTCGTCCCGCTTACATTCCCTCTGTCGTCCTGATTGGTTGTATAAGGCGCCGTCTGTCGGATCCTCGCCATGTAGAGAGAGGCTACGCCCCCCACACTGGGGTTTGGTTCGGCGGCACTCGCAGACCTTCCCCTCCCTGGTCTTCCTTTCTTCCTTTCCGCAAGCGTTACATGCACATGCCTTCTCCCTCCTTTGCAAATATAAATTCCGCAAACGCGGTTCTCTCACTCTCTCGAATCCTCTAAGTGAACAAGCCAGTTGTGTAGATTGGCTTGTTTTGCAATGTTTGGCCGGCAAGTTGGAGAGTCCTGATGGGCTGGTGGTGATCAAGCGGGGTTGGTAAGCAGCTGCAAAAGATTGCAGGGCTTACACAATCCTGGCGTGATGATCAGACCAACAGCATGACACACTTGTATGCTCGGTTGTGTTTTCTTTTCAGGCGGTGACTGCCTGGTGCCACGTGTTTGAGAGCAGGGTGATGCGCTTCTCCCTTCGTGGATAGACCTTGCGGGATCATTTTTGTCATTGTGTGTGTGTGTGTGTGTGTGTGTGTGTGTGTGTGTGTGTGTGTGTGTGTGTGTGTGTGTGTGTGTGTGTGTGTGTGTGTACACGTGTTTTGTCAATGTTGGTTGATGATTGACTGGTCTGAGTGCATGTATGTGCAAAAATGCAAGATTTTCCCTCTTCCTTCTTGGTTACTTTCTATGTGTGTAATACTGTGTATAATTTGATGGAATGATCGCGTACGACCGACAATTTTTCTGTCCCAAAGCCGTTGTTTTGTTTTTGAGAGTGAGTCTAATTAGTCATTCAATTAGCCATTTAATATCCCCTTTCTCTTATGACAATCATAGCCTCTGTGTGTGTGTGTGTGTGTGTGTGTGTGTGTGTGTGTGTGTGTGTGTGTGTGTGTGTGTGTGTGTGTGTGTGTGTGTGTGTGTGTGTGTGTNTGTGTGTGTGTGTGTGTGTGTGTGTGTGTGTGTGTGTGTGTGTGTGTGTGTGTGTGTGTTCATCTTACTCAAAGCATAATACGCCAAGCAACCTCACAGTTTCCTGTGATACGACTGATCCAAGTCTGAGATCATCGCAAACCTTGTGTGGGTGACAGATTGCAAACGCAGAAATTCAATCGATGCCAAAAATTGTATCATTCAGCCTTTGTCATAGTCCCCATTCATCTGCTGGATCTTATTCCAGTGACGATTCCCTCCACCCGTTCCTTCCTTCACCTCTGTATACTGATGTTTCTCCGACAAGTATCCCGAGATCTTGACATACTATCTTCCCTTCGTACATTGATCGATTCTCGACCCTTCAATCCCTGCCATCCGCAGTCGACTTAATCACTCAGGAAATTAACCGATGCAATAATTGTATCATTAATCCTTCGTTATAAAAACTTATAACCCAGAATAACCCTGACATATTCGGGCTCCATTCTTCAGTCTCCATTCTTTGTTCATAACCCAGGACAACCCCGACATATTCGTTGGGCTTTGAATAGGGGCTAAAGCTCTGGTGCTATCTAGAGCTAGTTTGTGCCATGCTAGCGTTGGTTGGGTTACTATCTTGATCACCCACTTGACCTAGAGGGCTTTTGTTTCCTGTCTAGGGTCAATAATTCCTAGTCCTCCTTTGGACGGTTTCCTCATGATGTAATGCCAGGCAATTTTTGGAATATAATTGGTTTTGTTCGGGTCACCTGACGAGAGGTATGCTCTAGATCCACTGCGTAGCTCCTTGATGGTGTGGTCTGGTATGGTCCAAATCGAGGCAATATACCACATCATTGAGAAGATCGGCATGTTGATGGCCAATGCTCTTCCTAGTAGCAAGGTAAAAACTGTTGCCCCATCGCCCCTTTCTATTGATCTGACTGGTCAACAGAGATTTTGTGCCATTTGTGGGGCCGGGCCGTCTTTGGTTGCCAAAACTCCCAGGTATTTTGTAGGCTCATCGGGATTTTCCCGCATCATCTCCCCTTCTGGCCCGTCCATCTGGAGAATCTCCTCCTCCGAGAGCCACCAGCCTACCATCTTTTTCCAATTTATCTTCATTTCCAAGGCAGGTCTGAAAGCTTCCATTGCCCTAACTATTGCTTTCACCGAGGTGTCCAACGCCCGTACAAGTACCGTGAGGTCGTCTGCGAACACTATGACTGTTAGGAATGTTAGGTGGTGAGAGGTGCCTGTATTGAGCTCAGGTAGCCTTTGAATTGAAGGATCCTTCCGCAAAAAGGAAGCAATGGCTTCCATTACGAGTAGGAAGATCGGAGGTGCTAGGGGGTCCCCTTGCCGCACTGATCTACATATGTGTACCATTCAGCTGCTTGGGTTTAATAGGAAATTACTAGGAATCAATGTTTTCGGAATCAATGTTCTATTGTTTGATGATAACTTTGAAGTTTGACCCTGAAAGGCTGAAACCGACTCTGTCAAATTTGTCCACTTTATAGCTTGGTTACCAGGGGCGCCGACCAGGCACCCGTGCAGGTCCCCCGCTCGTGTGGCCGCTCGGGTACCTCAGGCATGCAAAAAAACCCACCCTTCTCTTTTTTCTTTTCTTCTTTTTAGGTGGTGTGGCATTTTCTTTGCCCATCAAGTTCTGCCCGAATCCAGGCTCTTTTATGCTTTTTAAGTACTCACTGCTCAGCAAATTTCGGCAGGGGAAAGATGCAGTGGGGGGTTGGGGGAGGAAGGGTTTCCAATTTAGGAATCATCCTCATCATCGCTGTCATCATCATCTTCATCATTCCACCACAACTCGGGCGGGGCCACACAATGGAGGAATCATTGTCATCATCATCATCATGCCATTATCATTTCTGTTGAAGGCGCATGGTGGCATGCAGGACCACCAGGCTGCCTACCAGGTGTGAAAAACGCCTGGCAGTGCGGCTGCCCCAGAGCGACCGGGTGACCCAGTTGGTTGGGCACCCACACAGCCGTCTGGGTAGGTGTGGGCGGCCCATGCGCCCGGAAAAAGAACCCAGCTTTATAGTAAGCCTGTACCAGGTGTGAGAATGTTCGGCACTGAGGCTGCTCCAGACCGACCGTTTGACCAACTCGGTCGGGCAGCCACACAGGCTTCTGGGCAGGTGTGGGCAGCCCATGCGCCCAGAAAAAGCACCCAGCTTTCTGTCAATATTTCTGGAAACTCACTTTGTTGACTTTCAGCAATTTTAAACCACCAGTACTTGGCCCAGCTATCGATGCCGAGCCTGGAATGCCCCTGCGTGCCAATTTTCGCGGAAGCGCCGGGGTACCGTTTTGAAATTTTTTTGGCTGGCGCTTCCAGCCATTGTGGTCCGGTACCCCGAAGCCCTAAAGGCGCGGCGCGGCCGATAGCTGGGCCAAGTACTGGTGGTTTAACTACTTTGGTTTCCTAGGCCGATAGCTGGGCCAAGTTGGTGGTTCAACTACTTTGGTTTCCTAACATTTCAGCTGTCATGACTTCTGTTTCGGCTTGCAGGTATTGCTGTGGTACTCTTAAGCACTGGTATGCTGCTTCTCATGGTCCTGCTTATTGCTGCAGTTGTGTTGCTGAGGCGGCTCAGGGATCGGCGATACGACTCACTACCGCGGCGACCAGCCTTGCTGGGCAATTACACTCCACAAATCTCACCGCGAAACAACCTCTGAGTGTGCGGAGTCTGGGCCTCTCTGATGGACAAGCTATAATTTTTCTGACTTGCCGTCTCTCTTTTGTGGGTACTAGGTAGCCCCTGACATTATTGAATCCATCAGGATTTGAACTCCGATCTGCTTATCGACAGTTAGATGTGTGTACCATCCCGCCACAAGGGAGGCACACACGTCAGGTGCGGTCTTGGTCTATCGCTACTGCCTGTTACTGAGTCGGCTCCGAGATAGAGGCATGATTTGCTAGCTTCAGTGCACCCGGTCCAAATGTGCGCCGGTGCAACAAACCTGGTCCTAATGCAGATAGGATCAGCAAGGTTCAGCTTGGTCTAGACTCTAGACCTACAGCTCCCCACTGTCTCTAGGTATGACTATGCTGCATAAGCGGTGTAACTGCCGCCACTTGGACCGGAATGTTCATGTGGGGGGTCAAATTCTCCACTTGGGTCAGAAACAGGCCATTTAGGAACCTAAATGCGCATTTGGACCAAAAGAGCCCATTTGGACCAAATTGCTAAATGCCTATTCAGGAACCTAAATCACTTTGCTGCCCCGAAAGGGCCAAAGTGGAAGTTAAGCTATGGATCACATATCTGATGGTACATGTTCCCATTCACAACTCGGAAATTGAGCTACGAACCAGGTCTTCATCTGTTCCAGATGGTCCAGGGTGGGACTGCGGCAGATGTTCCCAACTTGAAACATGAACCAGGTCTTCATCTGATCCAGATGGTCCAAAGTGGGACTACCGCAGATGTTCGCAACTTGGAAATTGAACTGTGGACCAGGTCTTCTTCATCTGATCCAGGTGGTCCAAAGTGGGACTGCCGCAGATGTTCGCAA